GGGCTCTGCTCCCCACTGGTCTTGCTCCCATGCTGCTCTGCACACTCCTGTCAGTGTGGTCTTATCATTTGAGGAACTGTAACCGAGGACAGTGCAGCTGGAGAACAGAGTGTGGGCAGGAGGAAGAATAGTGAAAGGAGTCGAGGTGTATGCAGGGGCCAGATCCTGCAAGGCATTTTGGACATGTTTTGGTGTTTGGGTTTGACCTTGTAGGCAGTGGGATGCCACACAGCAGAAGGGCTGTGTGGATGGAGTGGAATTGGGTCTATTCATTGTTAAAGACAACACACTCTGCAGCATAGAGGGAGCAGGCTTTGGGTGGGGGGTGTCGGAGGCTGTAGCAGCCCAGGGGAAGAGGATGGGAGCCTGGGCTGGTATGGCGGTGGTGGGATGGAGGGAAATGGACAGACTCTGGGATACTAGGAGGCAGAATTGTAGGGGAGGCTCCAGGGGAAGCATTTGTTCAGAGGAGAGTGATATTTCCGGGCAGGGGAGGGAGGAAGCATTTGGGAAGAGGCTGCAGGTGTTGGATAGGTAATTGTTCACCATGGAATGAAGGCCCTGAAGCACACAGTGGAGAGGTCTGCATAGGAGTTGAGGGTGTGGTGGTTGGGTCAGAGCAGAGGCTCACCTGAACACATGGCCCTGCCTGGTGTGACATGAGGTGTGGTGTGTTTGGCTGCAAGCTTTCAAAAAAAGGAATGCCAGCAGTCTTTTGATTGAATAGTTCTGTTTTCAGATACCCTTTCACCCTCTTTCATGGACAAGGCTTGGTCCTTGGTCCTTGGCACCATGGGTGAATTGAGGAGTTCACAATCTAATAAATGAAAACTTCTTTTAGAACTGGCAGATAGAGAGTTAAAGGCATTAATGACTTGCTTGAAACAGACTGGAAAGGACCAAGCTGAGAACTTTTCTCACCCTTCCTAATTCTTATCCTCATTCCTCATCTTTCTTTCCTTTTTCTTTCCTTAGTAACCAGTGAATGCCCTCTCCCCCTGCCACCGTGAGTATAGGGGAAGGTTCTCAGCTCTGAACCAGGCCTGCTTGGCATTTCTTCATTGGGCTAGGAAGGTGCCCAAGCCTTCAATCTCCAACTTAAGATTGGAAATTATCTTAATTTGGTTATTTCCAAATTTTTCTCCATTTTCTCTTTCTTAAGCATTTATACAACAATAAGAAAACTTACTCGTAAGAGTTATTTAATATAGTTTTGAATTAACTCTGCTTTTTTCTTTTCAAAACTTTAACTTTGGGTGGTTCATCATTTTTGTAAATAGAGATAAAAATGTCAATCATTAATAAAATCTATTAAAACTTGCTAATTGATTTAAATCTATACAACTGTAGCAGGTAAGAAAGAAGAGAATTATAGAATTCTTAAATTTTAGAACTGGAAAGTAATTTTAGGTCCTTCTTAGCTTTATTTTTTATTATCCCCTCATTTTATGTCTAAGAAAAATCAAGGTTTAGATGAATGAGATGTATGAGTAAATGTGGTAAATGTTTAACAAGCTTAGAATGTTTTAAAATTTGCATAATAGGAACTTTCATATTTTCTGACAGTAATATTACAGAAGAAACTTTTTTTTTTTTTTAACCACTAGGGAATGCTAAAATATCAACTGATCAACTATAATGGGAATTTTTTTTTTTTTAATTTTAGGTATTCTGATTGCTGCATCTTTTCTGTTTAGCAAATTAAAAGGACTTACTTAGTATCCTCTATGGATTGGGGTGTGAGGGTGGACATCGAGAACACTATTTTAGATTTGTTTCAAGTCACATCATTTCACAGTGATTCTAACTCAGAACATTCCTTGTAGATAAACAAATTTTATTCTCTTCCTCTAGTTTTGCAGTTCTCAGAAATGTACTAGAAAAAAATCTGCCTCTTTTGTTAGTTAAGCAAAGCTGAGCCCATATTCATGTAAGGTGTTGGACCATAACCTGTATTTTAGTAATTTGGTGAAAAAGGAATGTTGTCACAGTGGCTCTGCTCTCAGGAAATTGTCCAACCTCAGAGCCTCCCAGGTTGTATGGCAACTGAGTGAGGGTATGCGACTTCTTAGGCAAACCTCATCCTGAGATTTGGTCAGGGAATTGGATTTGTGAGTCTTTTGTTCTTTCTCTACCTTTATTCTGCCATTTAGAAAATTAAAGTTATTACATTTTCATTTTGATTCCTCGTTGTTCCAGGGAATTTTTAAAAGGAAATTTTACATTAAATTCCTCAAGTGTCATTTTTTAAAAAACTCATCTTTCTTGTGACATAAGACAATGATGTGTAATCTCTGTATAGTCATAACACTGAGCTTGTTGATTGTCTCCTTCAAATCCCTAGTATGTTTCCTTTAGCTTACTTGACCTGTCAGATTATGAAAGAATTAAAATTTTCCACTGTGATCACATTTTATCATGTTCTGTTTGTATTTCTAGAAGTTTTAACTTGGTATTTGACTCTTACATTGGTTGTCCAAAATAAACTTTATTATTTTTGAGACAGTTTCACCCAGGCTGGAGTGCTGTGGCGCAATGTCAGCTTATTGTAGCCTCCGCCTTCCCGGTTCAAAGGGTTCTTGACTGTCATCCTCCTGAGTAGCTGGGACTAGTCATGCGCCACCACATGGCTAAATTTTTTTTTTTTTTTTTTCCGTAGAGGCGGTGTTTCATCATGTTGCGCAGGCTGGTCTTGAACTCCTGGCCTCAAGTGATCCACCTGCCTTGGCCTCCCAAAGTGCTGGGATTACAGGCATGAGCCACCGTGCCTGCCCCAAAAATTTTTATTTGAAGGAATACAATTAGAATTGAGTAAATGGAAGGAGATATACTGTGCAACTGAATGGCCATCATATAAATGACAGCCCTTCCCAACCCAAATTATATATAAATTTAATGTCATTCTGATCAGAAGCCTGACAATTTTTTCTTGGGTAGGGGAGCAGGGTTGGGAGACTGGTTCAGATGTTATATGTAAGAATAAGTTGGTAAGAATTACCTAAATCTTAAAAATAAATGTAGTTGGGGGTGGGGAGCTTTTTAAAATCATGTGTTAAAATTACCATAATGCTACAGTAATAAAAATAGTGTGATACAAAAAAAAGAAACACACACACACACACACAGAATTAAGTCAGTTGCAGTTGAATGAAATAGAACAGAGTCTAGCATTGTAAGAAATTAGTATAAGAATTGACTGAATTTCGTTTCACTGGTAAAAGGGATGTTTACTTGATAAAATGATGTAATATAATTGGCTTGTTCAAGGAGAACAAAATTAGGGTGAAAGAGCTAAGTGGAAAATGCAATTAATAATATTAGAAGACATTTTAGGAGACTATAGTTCTGAGGTGCGGAAGGCCTTCAGAGACAAGACAGGAAGTGCAGAAGAAATAAAGGAAAATATCAACATATTTAAATGCGTAAAAGTTTAAAAATTCTTTCTGACAGAATACACCACAAATTATATCAAAATACTCTGTCATACATATGTGTTAACTTAAAATAATCAAAAGGATCAGAATCTAAAGAGCGTTTATTCAAGCACAAAATGTGAGGGTGGACCACTCAGGGACACCAACTCCAAAGGAATGAAGTCAGCCTTTGGAGGTAGGGAAGTTCAGGTTTCATTTATAGAGGCAGAGAGATATTTTTAGCAGGCATACAACATTGTTCATACGAATTGGCACGTAGTCACAGCAGTTTGATTGGTTATAGGTGGTATTTCTTTTGGGGAAGGGTACATTTAACTTTTTTTTTTTTTAGCAGAGGGTATAATAATGATGGATTTTCTATAGTTTGATGTAAGCAAAGTAAAACAACACGGGGAACATTAATCTATAACAGGGGTTATTAACTACAAAGGTAGGCTCAAACCTTTAATGCTGCCGTTGTTTCTCTCTAGCAGCAAGTGGCTTTGTCTTCTGCTCTGTGGGGAACATGGAAACTCCACAAAGTACTTGCCACTAAATATGCAATCTTCCTCCTCTTTCGCCAAGGCAAACAGGCCACCTGTGCTGGGTCGCAGCCCTACCTGTCTCCTTCTGGATACTCCCTACGTGGATTATCCCTGCTGGCCATTGCATCTCTTCCTCTTTTCCTCATTCATACATCACGAGAGTAAATACAGGGCCTTTGATGCCTATACCATCTCATTCTTTGTTTCCTCTCTGACCTCTCTGTGATATACCTATACTTATAGATAGAGAAAAAGAAGGAAGGATATTTGGGTAGAATAATGAGAAAGCAGCATGAGCTAAAACAAGTAAGAAGACCTCAAGAGTAAAGATGCAGAACATGATGAAATAAACCTAAATAAAGCCTTATGTCCCCTACCCAGACTTCGGGTATAGTAGGGAACATATTTCACTCTTATCTGAGCAAATGAAGGTTAATTGTTAGAACTACTGGATTATACCATCATAATTTCTTACATAGAGTTATAAGCCTGATTGTCATACTTTAATATTTATGTTCTCTTCCAGTTTTTGAAAACAAATGAAACATAAAACTTCATCTATAAACTGATATTCCTCAAGTGTATTCTGCAGAAAAGTAGCTTGGGGATGGGATTTGGGAAATATGAAATTAAATCTTTAATGTGTGGAAGTGCCTTGTGAATTTCTAGGAGCAGGTAGGCAGTGTGGGGTTTTCCATCCTCATGACCATGGATCCCTTTCCTTGTACATCTTTCTCACTCTTTTTCCTAATGTATATCATCTGTCCCAAGGAAAGCAGTTTGAGAAATGTTGAAGGATGTAAATAAATATGAGGTTATAAAGAAAAAAGAAAAATCAGGTTGTATGATGTACAGTAATCTGACTAGTAAGAATTTTTTATTCCCTTTCAGTTTGCGTGCTTTTCTGAGTCTATACATATTGAAGATAGCAAATGA